TAGTGGAAACGAATTATAGTGTCAAATGCGTCGTAATTCTCAATAGCCTGTCGAATCAAATGCGATGTGAATATAAAAATGTGGCCTTTAGCGATAACATGGTGCTGATAAAAATACGTTTTTATCACGTCAAGAGGTAACCTTGAACCGTGACCGCGCGTCACTCTTTGTTAAATGAATCATGTTAATGTTGGTATTAATTCAAATTTAACCAAAAACTTCCGGTTTAAATATTCCATGTTTCGTCAAATAAAATAGACAATAATAGAATATTTACGTCGTCGTGTTATTCTTATTATCATGTTAAAAAAACAATTTCTGGTGTTTAGAGTAGTGCACAATGTAGAATCTAAAATTAGTCGATATACATACTCGTACTTCGATATATGAGGCTGCTAGAGGCAGAGTAGCCTAAATGCAATTTTAAAACCTGACTTATTTATATGAAAATATTTTCATAGTCTAAAAATGTTAATCTACAAGAGCACAGTCACCGAAAATCGTAACATAATTTTTATACAAATAATAGTATAAAATTATTTTCGCCTCCTTATTGAAAATCATGTTTTTTTTATTATCAGGCTTCTCTGCCTCTAGCAGCCTCATATATAGGTGTATATACTTGCTAATTATTATTTGTCTACTATGACAGTTTTAACGAACTAAACTTGCCTGTGACTAACGTAATCACAAGGCTGCGGAACCGTGTTTTTGTTTCTGCTTATTATTTCGGACTTTTCAAAGCAAAAAATTAGCGATTTTGCTTGGATGGTATTTTGCTGGAGTAATTTACGTCCAGTGAAAGAACACCACGCTTATACGCCGTATGACATCTGTTATTAACATTTTAAATTTATTATGTCCGTAAAGAAAATATTTTATTTTTAGTTTTGGAAATTCCTCCTTCAGTTTTTCCACGTGGGGTGAAACGGTCACGTGCAAAATCTAAATACAATAGAAAACAATATTGTACACTCGAAGTTATGCATACAACACGGTCAAACTATGGTTTTTCCAGCCAATTCTAAGTAGCAGGGTTTACGTATACAGGATGTTTTATTTACAGCGTAAGAGACTTTAAAATAGGGTTATTTATAATGACATGGATATTGGGAAAGAATTTCAAAACAATAAAAAATAATCGATTATTAAGTAGTATATGTGAAACAAATTTGTGTTATTTTTCTAAATTAATAGGTTACTATGAAATCAAATGTTTGTCCCCCTTCTCTTTCGATCTTCCTTCCAGGTAAGCAATTTTCAAATTGAACCTCTTAGCTTCGTTGTTGAGTATTTCGGTATAAACAATGAACGATAATATACACACACTTAAGAATTTTGGATGCGAGTTTATACAACATGCCCTAGCTTGCAAAGAAATCATTATATTCTCCGTACAGACACACAAGTACCTAAATATAAAATAAAATGTAAATAGTATTTTTAAGTATGAGTATTAGAATCACTAAAGCGATGAAGAGTGGAATTCAAGTGCGTAAGAAAAACCAATACAAAGGACTTCCGCCTGTCATATAGTCGATAAATATTGAAGGTAGATTTTTAATTTTAATATCGATTCATTAAAAAACACCAATTTCAATAAGGTAAATAATTAATGATAATTCTTTACCACAATGATACATTTTGGTATTTATATAGCGATGTTTTGTCGAAGATTTAAGTTTTTTATATTAGCTCTGCATAAAACACAAGTTTCTATATAAAATATTTCACAGATATATACAGCAAGAACGACCTTATTACAATTAGTTTTGAAGTAAAGTGACAGTGATGACGCACTTAAAAAATATAAGAGGGTAGAAATTTAACAGGCTCGTTGACCCGGTGGTAACTGTATATATAATATGGCTAATGACTGTGAGTTTTAAGATGTTTGTAAATCATTGTAATTTTTTCTAACATCGTCTAAAAACATTATGTGGGTAGTTTGAATATCGAGATACCGTCCGGGCTCCAATTCCAATTAAGGAAAAGCCGTAGAAAATTTTGTGACTCTCATGCTTGTCAAAGCAATATTTATCATTCGCTGTTTATAAATAATTCTTACACCTTTAAGAACTATAATAACTAAATCAAAATGTGTTGTATAATATAATAATATTCTTCCTAGTCTCGTGTCTTGGATTTCATTTCCTACGTAAAGGGCCATGCCATTTGCTACTTACCTTTGAACCTGGAAATATCAACTAGCAAAAAGTTGTGAATTATTCTGTTACGTAACGACTCAAAATAGTTGGTGTGCTTTGTAATACGCCATAAATCGTTTGGACAAGTTTGAAAATTAACAATAGGAACTATACATACTAATTCATTGTTTTAATAAAATTAAGTAAAAGGGGTTACCAACTATTTAGTTGGCAACTCCTAATGTATTTACATAATTATAGCGTAAACTAAAAAACACAACTGGCAGTTATTAACAAATTAACATAAAATGTATTTTTATTAATATACAATTTTGTGTCCCCATAAATCAATGATTGCCTAGCATTGCAGCAAATAGTGTTTGTAACACTTTGAATAATTTTAAACTATGGCCCGTTAATTCAGATGCTTGGCACCAGAAACGCACGTGGGGAAACGTCAGGCTGTGGTAAGTTAGTTAAGTAAATAGATTAAATATATATATTTATTAAAAATAACGTAACTAAATAAAAGACTATCAACGGATTCGATCTCGAAATGTATTATTTAAACTAATATATTATGTTGTCGAGTCGAGTGCTGTGTGTACATTTAAATGTGTAGGTACTACTCGCGTGAACTACCCACACTAATATTTGTAACACTTATAAGACAAGGTTTTTTTCATATATCTATTAAAAATCGCATTAAATTCTCATCCACGTAAATAATACGTGACAGCTTATCAATTTATCAAAAATATAATTGACCTAGCTGCACTTCCTAATTTGTTAACAAATGATAATTAAACAATTAGTATATTTTGTGTTCCTTATTAATGTGGAACATTTAAGGACACGAAAGTTAAGATTTATTTATTGGTTATCATTTGATAAGAAAATATATATTGTTCAAAATTCAAATTCTTCCCATCCTTAACTAACTTTCTGCAAAAAATAATAGTTATAAAACATATATTCTTTCTACAACTAAACATTTTGGTTAGTAGTTTAGAAAAGATGTTAGCTGGCCAAACAGACCGAGAAATATCTTTCTTTCTATATATTTAAATTAAAAAACAATTATGAGTACCCAAGAACTATTTGATAAAACGTTAACGTTTCTTTGTAATTGCAAATTGGAAAATTATAAAAGGCCGCATGTGTAATATTTTAAGCCTTAGTTATAAATTAGTTAGGTATAGTATCGACATACTTTTTCATTAGAAATGAATTTACAATAAAAAACAAGTAATTTAAACATTCCGGGTCACGAAACACCGACAGCGGATGATAAAATCGTTAAGTTTTAGTCTGTGGATGTCTGGATATCATGTGCATCTTGTTGTGGTGTTATATAGCTGGAGTGCCTTACCTTCCATTTAGTGAACCCCGCGATTGTCTGTCCTCCATCACAAAAGCATTTATTCCTAATACTAGCTGTGCCCGCGAATTCGTTCGCGTGGAATAGTGACTTGGGGTAGAAATTTTATTATTTAGGCTGTTTATTATGTTATGTAATTGGGCATTTATCGCAACCAATCTATGTTGTAAGTGCTATTATGCCGCAACACTCACACCTCACGTCACTCGTACTCTAACTCCCACTCCTATTCCCAAAAAGCCAAAGAAGAAAGTTTCATTGTTCTTGCTTCAAAAACCACGAATTTCCGTACCAATTTCCACCCCCCCCCCTTTTAATCCCTTAAACCCCCTTTTCGCAATAAAAATATATATAGCCTCCTTTCTCAGGGTCTCAGGGACCATATGTGTACCAAATTTCATTCATATCCGTTCAGTAGTTTTGGCGTGAAGGAGTAACAGACAGACAGAGTTACTTTCGCATTTATAATATTAGTAAGGATGATGAAAGCAGCTTGGACTGGATAAACTGACCGTATCGGCCCATTGTTAGAAACATGTAAAATTAAAAAAAATACCACGCAGTCATGTATTTAATGATAATCGGAAAAACGTGTTGGCTGCACGTCAATAAAGTTCAGCACTATGTAATGAGGAGGTGTTAAATCTTTCAAACAATGCGTAATTATTTTCCCATTACACTCTATTGTTATTTTTATGGTATTGGAAGAGAGGTCAGACTAAGGAAAGAGTTAAGATTTTTTGTTGTTTTATACTGAAAGATCTCCGTTTGAATCGCTAGGTTGTGTGGCTAAGCATGTTTCGATTTCTGTCGGGTCCAAGATTCTAAAACATGTTAAACACCGTCTAGAGAATCCGGACACTAAATGGTGAGTAGAAAGATTACGTTTCATTTTCTTATAAACCAAAGGTGAAGGTTCCGGCACACGTCGTTTTGTTGTATGTAAGTTTGATAATACTACGTTGATACAAAACTAAGAAATAATTGGTAATATTGTATTAATTTTACAAAATCTGATTAACGTTATATAGTCTACAGCCAATAAACATCGTTAAATGACCAACAGCAGAATTCGGCTCAGTAGTTCTCAGTAGTTTAAACGTGCATCAGCTTTACAATATTAGTAGAAGTGTCCGCGTTTCATTGTTAGCTCTTATATTTTCCAATATCCAAAGCCACCATAGACTAATAACACATTAAAATGTGTTGTCGATCTATGTTGTTGAAAGATGATCTCAATGTTTGTTAGTAAAATGTGGACTTAGTACGCTTTACCTTTCGTTATTGTTATAGTTTTAATTTTTGCTTTTCTAACAACACCTAAATACTTCTTCCTGTACTTGTGACATTGGCGTAATATAAATAATTATACCTAATTGTTCCAATTAAAATTACGGGAACTCCCGTCCCATATAACTTTCATTCCATTTTGACAGTTGTACATGATATGAAGTGTGTTTTAAAGAGACATAATGAAGTGTTTTAAAATAATATTATTTCTTATTTATTTTAACATAGGTAAAGTAATCTTTTGCTTTTCGGCATGATAAAATTTAATCTCGTTTCTCCTGCGTGGGGAATACAGGTTACCCATATCTGTGTTTCAATAATTAATTTTAATTACCTACTTGTGAGTAAGTAGTTGATCAGAATTCTGTGCACTGGAAATCAAATCCAGGATCACTAGAGCACAATACAATCCTGGGATATTATATGTTATACATCCAACTGAATTTAAAAAAATGTCTTTTAAATAATAATTTAAAAAGACATTATTTTATCCACTTATATTTCAGCCATTTATATATCTGCACGATGCAGTTATAGCCATAAACTAAGTATTAATATTAAAAGTATGTTTTAGTCTATGGCTTGAAAACAATACAAAAAGGATTTTTAAATACATTATCTGTAGAACCAATATACTATGGCGCAGATAAAACCTATTTTCCTTCCGGTATTCGCAAATCGGTAATTTGCAAAGGTGGCGGCAAAAATGAAAAGGTGAGAATGATTATTTCTGATGACTGACTTATTAATAAATATTTTCATCATTTATATCATTAGTATCATTCTTATTAAACAAAACATCATAAGTTCTTCATACCTTACTCAAATACACAATAAACACATTGCCTGTAATCGAAAAAGGGTCACCTTTTTTAAAACAGAAGCATAAGGTTGACTTAGGAAAAGATAATATTCCCCATCCTTCACTTTCTTCCTATTTTGGCTTTAGATATTAGGAAATCCAATCTTGGTGGTGGTGATTCCTATCCATGTAATATTAAAATCTTCCTGAAAAACTCCAACATGTTTTATATGAATTACAAGATTACTTGAAACATCTGTGATCCGGTGGGGTTCGAAAAAACGACGCGTTTATTCGAACGAATCGAATAATTAGCAGAACAATTGCTACCATTTTACCAACCTGTCAAAATCTATTTAAATTCAGGTCCAATGGCGAGACCCATCAGGTGATGTAGTACCAACGGTAGCATCTGACCATGTCTTCGTACAAGAATACTTCGTCCCGGCGTATAGGACTCGCGTACCAGCAGCCGTACTTGTTTTTACACACACTACGGTGGAAGACAGCGGAATTTGGGAATGTCGCGCTGGAGGAAAGAAGAAAGAAGTATCGCTATGTATAATAGGTAAAGCTGTTTCTCTTTCTTAAGATATCCTAAAATCACCGAAAGGTACTCAGTTCAGTGAAAACTGCGCCGCATTATTATTTTCTACCATTGGTCAATAAATAAGTAAGTAAGTGAAATCCCGTTTCTCCTGCTTGGGGTATGGGACGAACACATTTTTGTGTCCGTTTCACTGATACGTTCTTTAGCAGGCAAGTAGTTGATTGACTTCTGTGCCCTGCTCGACCGAAACAATTTATTGTTCCCCTGGGATTCGAACCCAGGACCTCTCGCGCTTAATGCAATGCTAGGCAATACGGTTAACCATTTGGCTACATAAATCTCTATGACCAACAAATGACAAGCATAACTTTTGTGGTGGTTAGATCCAGCGGAGTTCGTAGATACACCCACAGAAGTGACTGCTGATTTGGGAAGGTCTATCACACTGACCTGTCAGGCGCGTGGGGATCCCGAACCACGACTCGTGTGGTACAGGAATGGAGAACCGATCATTGGTAATCGTCATTCCTTTTCTTCAATACATTATTAAAAATTAGTAAATATATTGAACGCATGTTTAATATTAATTCCATTACGAACTCTTTTTTACTTTTTAATCTCTCTTATTGTTTCCAAGTATGTATTATCTAAAGGAATATAATAACGCTAAACAGTTTGTTCGTTTGAACGCGCTAATCTCAGGAACTGTTGATTCGAATTAGATTTTTCATTTGTGTTAGTTAGACCAAGTCCGAGAAACAGACAGAAAAGTGGGAAAAACTAAGATAATTTATCAACTTTGTTGACAGAGAGTTGTTGTTTGTTCTTCTTTAAATAATAAAAAAAATGTTCCTGATATTATGTGCTTATTTCAATAAAACACGTTAACAGTTTAAAACGCGATATCTGTTAGTTAAACTTGTTTTATTTGTAGTCTCCCCACGGCTGCTGCAAAGCATCAGCAAACGTAGGGCCGTAGTAAATTTCAAATAAGTTTAACTAATAATATAATATATAAATATATATCGTGTTTGAAACTGTTAAAGTGTTTTATTTAAATATGGACTACTCGCGTAAACTAGTGACAGTGTTTCAACAGATTAACAAACACAATATTTGCAGAGGACATGACGTCATCCAAGTACGCCGTATCCACTAAATTCAATAGCCAAGGTTTTGAAGGTCTTCTAACAGTTCGTTCGCTTGAGAGAGATGATAGCGGGTCATACGGATGTGAGGCAATACAGGCCAGCCCTCACGATGAAGACTGCAGTATTAGCAAGAATATTAACGTGACTCTTAATATAAACTGTACGTATCCTATTAATCAATCAAATTTCACGTATAATTCCAATATTTAACCTGGTGTACTGTTTGAAACAATTTATCCCTTAACAGGGATTCAAACTCAGGACCTTACTTGTTTAATATTTTACTATACTCTGTGTTTTATCATTCGCTATAAAACAGACTGTTTCCAACTTACACATTTTACAATTTTGCCCCTACCTAAAATTAATAGCATTTACAACTACAAACGGTAAGATAATTAACATTACATTTTCAGATGCCCCTATGTTTTTGGATGGAAACGAAACAAGTACACTCTTTGTTAAAGACGATAAACTGTACGTATATTTGTTTACAAACTAAAACAATATATTGATTCGGTAGCTCAATTGGTAGATCAACAGCACGGAACGCTGACGATGCCGGTTCAAGTCCTACCCGAGTCGAAAATTTTTTCAATTTATTTTCGATTAATTATATAGTGCCTTCATGTGCAATAATATGTAAAAAATGTTGTACTGTTTGTATAGCTGTCGGCCCTATAAAGACTCGTTGGTCTATAAAGCAACGTATATCTAATAATCAACGGGTCGTCATAAACACTTTACAATTTTTCTGAAATATCTAACTTTATCTGGATATTAAATGAATAGAATATCGAAATCGGTTCGGATCACTATTTGGAACTAACATGACCACAGATGAAAAAGCCAAAACCAAAAAAAAAGATCGGCCGCGCATATTGTTGAGATTAAGTGAACCACATGCTTGTCTATCTACCTTTATAATATGAAAAATAATTATTCTACGCCTGCAAATGTATTCTCAAAGTAAAAGTTGATTTGCTGCATGTCCTCTTCCTTTCTTCTTCTCTTCCATTAATAATATCGATTTTATTACAGTGCAGAATTGGTATGTTCCGTTGACGCCTTTCCAGAACCTACATACAGATGGTTCAAAGAAGTAGGTAGCGATTTGTCTGAAATAGCGCAAAGCGAAACAAAAGTAGAGGAGGATGGTAGTAAAGCAGTTTTAACTCTGGAAGTTACCGAAGCACATTTTGGTCAAAGATTCGTCTGTCGCGCGACCAACCAGTACGGCACTGTTGATAAAGTTTTCGCTATTCAAAAATTGGAAAAGCCAGAACCACCAATTGAGGTAGAGTTTTAATTGAGTTCATAACGAGGTTTAGTTGTGAAAGTGAAGTGTGTTGGGAAAGTTTATTCTAGAACATGAGGGTTTGGGATATTCGCTTTTTGAAAATAGGAAAATAAATAGCAGTTTTATATATTCTCTTGTAACAATATAGATAAATTCTAAAAACATTTATTTTAGTTTCGTATAAGTACTTCAATAATTGTCTTTCGTACTATATTTATTTCAATTCAACATGTATGTTCTTTATATATGTTACCTATATGCGTATGTATGTTATTTATAATATTAATTATTGTATTTACTATTTGCCTATAATGATCTCGTACAACATCGATTTTTTTAAGCTGTTAGCGAATGTCTGTACATATTATAAATTACATTAACAAGTATATGACCTAATGTAATATGTATTTTATATTATAGTTCAACATTAACAATTCATCTTACGATTCGATACAGTTAAGCGTTATCTGGGAAAAGGAATCATTTTATCAAGTAGCTGGTAGGTATACTGCAAGAATATACTGCTATCTTATATAATCTTTTTAGATAACTAAATTTTTTATATAATTTTTAATAATCTAGGCGTTGAAATAGAATATTTGTCCGCGGATAAAGCTTCGAGGAGAAAAGGAATGTTTAATTGGAAAAAAGGAACTTCAATTAAAATAAAATCTGATGAATTCGATGCAGTTGAGACTGAAAGTGGAGGTACTATATCAAAAATAATTATTAATAAAATTCTTACCTCACTTTAGAGGACTTCTTTCTCTAATAAATTAATTGGTCTATAGAGAAAAACTACAGCAATTTTATTTAAGGACACAATAGAAACAAACATTTTTGTTAACATTATTATTGTAGGTGCTCTTATTACCCTACCGGATCTAGATGAAGAAACTACATATTGGATTCGTATCAGGGCTACCAATGAAGTTGGATCATCATCATGGTCATCACCCTTAAAGATTACAACAGATATAAAACCAGAAATGGAGGAGGTACAGGAGAATTTGGTTAAAAAACGACCGGAATCACACGATTCGGAAGCGCGTTTCTATGGCTTATTATTTGCTGGTGGGGTTTTAGTAGTTGCGTTTGGTTCTATGTTCGTTGTGAGGGTAGTCTAAAATTCTTCTGCTAACTATAACTATATGTTAACTTAATAAACTGTTTAATAGTTTACTGTTTTATTTCACTTCATTCTTTGTACAATTTCGGACAATGACTATTCCTTTAATTAGTAGATGCAGTTCCTGGCGGGTCCCGATCCACCTTCTACATTCTTAATGATGCGAAGCTAAAACAAATCGACATCGCATTTTAGACAGAAATTTAGTCAAATAAAAATATGTGAACTAAACAACCTTTTATAGTATGACAATAATAACACAAATTTTATAAACCACCTTTATTACAGGCATACGTGTAACATAATATATTTGCAACAAACATCCTAGTGACAAATAAGTTTAACATGACGAGCTTATTTACAGAGAAATACAACAGTCTCTCGTTTTTGCTGTGAAAGCAGGGTCAGGGGATACATTTGAAACATATTTCTGCAGAGCGATTTATTTATATGTTCGTTATGGTATCACTCCTAAAAGTCTAGATTGTACACGTTTTAGACCATTACCTAACCAGACCACAGTATCGTCGTGTGATACACGTATTTAGATTGTTTAGGATTATTCGAATTTATTTTTCCTTACCTAGGTTTAGATAAACGTCATTGACCACACAGATAGTTATAAGAAGGCACCCAGTGTGGAATTCAACCATAACCCCGCTTGAAATTTTGCCTGATTATATCCTGAAGAGTATAGTAGCCAAGATTCAGAATTGATCTTGAGTTCCGATGGTTGTATTCGCGTATAAAGGTCATATATACGTTGGGAAAATTAACCAATAACACTAGACAAAATTACTAGTCCAGATCATTAGTATTTATTATGATAGTGTTTCAAAAGCGATTACTATAACTTTATGTAAAATACCTAGCAAAACGTTGAAAACACGAGGAACAGGAAAGTGGGGGGGGGGGGATTACCCAAAGAGTAGGAAAATCAGTCTTCCTGAGAGACTATACATTTAAGTGTATTGGAAATATCATTGTTATTTGACGGACGTCTTTACATGTAGTATAGTTAGTACCTAGTTGTATTAAATAGGATTGGATTTAATGAAAATTTATTTTAATATTTATTAGTGCTTCTTAATGACGCGAAGAACAAGCAAATTTTGTGGGGAGTTCTTATTGCATATACACAGTGTCTGCATATGCATTTTTTAACTTTTTATTGGCTTATGATTGTTTTTCATTGTTGTTTAGAATTATGTCACATAATTCTTCAAGCAATTGAGGAGTTAACAACATCTCCTGATGATGCCGTGCGCTCGTGATAGCGAAACGTAGTGATCCTTTTCTGTCCTACGTCGACCGAACAGGCCAAAAAACGATGATATGCTGAACGATGGCCGTGGAAACTTTACGCAATTTACTACATTGGTTATTGAAGTTGAACTTTCGCATTTAATTCAAACAATATTAAATTCTTGAATTCATAAAATTAATTGCGATAGCTGTGGCTATAACTAAAATAAAATATACATATATCTAAATAAAAACTATCATCTATTTACATAAGAAATAAAGGTGGTCAGATCGCATTTGTTTTTTTGATATTTGAAGTCGTATTTCATACTGCGAATAATGATACATGTTTGATAAGTTTTAAATGAACTTTGTTCATTTATCTATAAACTAATTGCAGAAATAATGTATGTAATGCTTTAGGGTTATATTTGGTTTTAGGTAAAATAAAGATAATCTATAGTTACTTCTAAAGGTTATTGTCATTTCAGATTATTCCTATAGTTTTTCCGACGAAGTGAAACAGCCATGTAGTTAATCTACTTACGGCTTTGACTTTCGAAGAAGAAACTATAGTAAGAGATTTAGTTATAGTCATTATAAATCGGTAAGCAGCATTAAAACGTACTAAATAAGCGATTAGAACACTTAGTCCATACATTTGCAAGTTAGTAGCCTTATCGTAAGAAATAATAATTTACAATCGACAACTGTTTCTTAGCTTATTCGAGTATTATTATAGTGTTTTCTGAATATCGTCGAAAACATAATCTTGACATTAAGTAAACGTATATTAATATTAACCTAATCTAAACGCAATAAATATTCTCAATTTCATATATCTATTATAATTAAACTTACTTAAATATATTATTCTTATAATTGGATTTTATAATTGCAGTCGAAGTAGATCTAACATTAATAGATTATATAATCATTTAATGGGGACAATAAATATTTAAATTTATACCAATGAACACTCATTACAATTTTTATCAACTCGAAATCACATTTAATGGATAACTTAAATTCATTAATACATTACTATACATATCCTAGCAGTTAAAGCTGTGTAAAGCCGACAGTAACCAAAATGAAAAAGCAAAATATACACAGTAAATAAAACTACTTCTAACGAGTTTAAACCCAAAATAAACTCATGACAAATTTTCTACGCTCCAACGTTTCGGTTACTTTTCAGCAGCCGCGGTTACTGAAGACGGTCTAAATAATCAGTAAATTTAAATAATTATATTTTTACACCAACAACTCGTTTTTGGATACTACATATCTCTATGGTTGTCGGCTTTACAACCGAATGTAACTCGTTATATATATTCAAAGAAAACATTTGTACAATAAATACAATATTTATAGTGTCAACGAAAAACCAACGCAAAGTAAAATAAAAAATGAGATTAAGCAAAGCGGACTTCGTACTTTAAAGTCCTATGTATGCGTTGGCCTTAAATTTAATTATTTAATTAGTGGGTATAGGATGTAAATAAGAAAAAGAATGGACGAAATGGTTAGTCTACTGGCGAGATCTGTGGTGGGATTCGGGGTTATAGTCACCCAGTCGGAGAAACCAGCCGCGTTGCGCGTGCGCACCCGAGCGTGATACGTCGTGGTATTCATAAGGGGACCCACAGTGAAAAGTGTATCTGAAAGCGGGTAATTTTAATGTTGAGATTGAAAATGAAGTACCACAACAGAAAATTATGTCCGATTTCGTTTTATGCTATAAAGTCGATGTTAGAAAATAATTATAACAAAATGAGTAGGAGCGGTGAGCCACTTGGTAATTTTTCTCATTCCTTCGTTAATTTAATTACTAGTCTACAAGAAAAGCCCTTTTTCTTTTCAATTAAAAATATATTGACATTCGTTTTATGCTCAGCTATTGGAATATTCCTTTAAAATTGTTTCATAATGATTGTTGGATAGTTAGAGACCTAATATCTGACGATCACATATTTTGTTTTTTTGTCCCTAAATTACACTATGTATATATACAGTACTGTAACGATACTACAACGTAGTGCGTGGAAGACCTGATTCTTGTACTTGGAACACGCCTCTCGCTTATTAAGTAAACAAACTTACCATTGTATTCTTTAATGTCTAGAATAAATTCAGTAGCCGCATCCCAATCAGGCAGAAAACCTTCTTGAACTGGCACAAGCGCGAATGAGTAGCCTGCGAGTAAGATATAAATAATTTAAAAATCTAATTTAGATTGAAAATAATTAACGACACTGGCAGGATTTACATCGCCATCAACAGCGTTTCGTGCTGTGGCTCTAACCGATTGAGTTACCGTGTCCCATACCTGATCGTCTAATTTTTTTATAATTTATTGATACATTGATCTCTCACGCAATGTAAGATATTAATATAATATATACCTTGTTTTTATATCAGAAAGGGATACATAAGATTGAGGTTCATTGTACTGGAGGGAAAATTCTTTGCACTATAGTGAACGCCAAAAATCGGACAATGATTAGCAAACACTAAACCCAATGATTTAAACCGAATTAAACCTACCATCCGGTGATTCTCAGTAATACTACATATTGATAAAAGGACAAGATATATTGATAAAGATGGAACAATATTTATCAATAGATAGTTTGATGTATAGACTCAGGTTAATAAATTTAAGTATGACAGAAAGATAGAGAAATTGATTCCGATTGTACTTTGTAGAAAATATCAACCATAGTTTTTAAAGTACTAGATCTAGATCTTCCTACTTGAACAAGTATGATCATATGAGTAACACCCATGTCAAAAATGTTAATTATATTTCTAAACTTAACAATGTTTTCTACTAAAGTTACGATTTGAAGTAAATATTTACCCAGTACAGTAAGATTAGCGGGATCTTCGGACATATCTTCTTCAGTTGAAGCCATGTTGCAGGTGGAACATGTTACATTAAATGTCAGGTCACTGATTGATTTGGCAACTAATTCAATCTGAAAGTGAAGAACATAAAATGAATATCATCTCACTTTAAAACAAGAGAAAGGAAGACGGAAAAAGCATAAGACAAATGTCTTGCCGCTTGACAGAATTATCAGACTCATTTTAAAAGATTTTAAGTCCGGAATGCGACAAGAAGGTAAAGCAACATAAATTGTCTTCTGCCCTGTAAATATTTTTTTAAACTTGCACGAGAATCCAATCCACCTTTTGTGCTCAATTCGAAGCAATAATATTTACAGCAGTGCAGAAGTAACCACCTAGAGCTTTTCTTAATATGTCTAGACATTTGTAAGCAATGTAAGTTGTTTGTTTGAATGAGCTTATCTCGGGAACTACTAATTCGCATTGAAAAATGTTTGTTGGTTGGACCATTTATCAAGAAAGGCTTTAGAGGAAGGTATCAGGGTGCAACTAGTCGAAGCGACGAAATAGAGGGAAATGTGGAGAAAACGGTAAAAATGTCCTGAATGTCGATGGTGATACACTTTATATAGCAATAGTTTACCAGGTCAGCTAGTTATAATAAAACTTACGAAATCCGGTGGATTCGGTTTATTTCCAAGTGACACATGGTAGATGATGGAGACATGACCCTTACTGTTGTTAGCCGAACACTTGTATTCACCTAGAGCGCTTGTGTCCAATGTTCTTAGAACGAACACAGAGCTATTACCATCTTCTGAATACAGAACCTGATCAACAGAGTTTTCGATTAAAGGTTACGGACAGCTAACAAGTGAATTTTCGTCTTAGACAGAGATCTCCACGCTTTTGATAAAATATAATAATAATTGCTGAGAGTAGTGTACATTTTTGCATTGTATTCACTTTCGTTAAGACTATCTCCTTAACTTGGTTCGTGATGTATCAATAGTCACTCAAACTGATTTTTCCTTGCAAGTCTCCTAAGAGGTAGTTTGTATTTAAGGTATACAACCATTTCATTAAATACTTAGTCCTTAAGTTGACGAAGTGTTTAATTTTATTATTTACGTTTTTGTTTAAAAAAATAGATAGATAGATTTATTTACCGTCTCAGAATCTGTAATAACTTCATCATCGTAGCCATTCTGCCGACGGTACCAGCGAAATGTCGGTGGAGGGTTGGCGATGACGCTGCACGTAATGTTTTTACTGAAAACGTTATTTATATAATTAGAGAATTAAAAATGAAAATCTTAAGTTTTATTACTAATCCTCTAACTAATACTAATACTACCCCCCGAACTACTACTTAACCCTATCCCAAGCCTCAAACCAAATTTTTGTAATATTTATTAAAGGCTGAATTTAAAATTGAACAATGAAGCTTCTTAACAAAGAACTCGGCTATGAATTATTATTATGCACAGGTACAGGAAAATTAAGGTTAATTATAATTTATGATGCTACTTTTACTCACGTTTCATTCATAATGGCGTAAACTTCTTCTGTCTTGTATTTTGAGTACGATACTTCATTGTTTTCATCCACCAAAAGTGGTTTATCTGAAATATTTTAAGAGATATGTCATTAGCGTAGAAAACTTTATATCGAAATTAAAACATATCTTGATTTAATATTATCTAATATCGAACGCTGAAATAGGTCCACAACGATGAATGAATATTTCTAAGATAGTATAAGGTTGCGTACCCATGTTTGTCAATCTACCTCAGTCATAAAAAAGATATAATTTTTTTTAACAAAATTGGCGTATGTATGTTTATTTCGACAATTATGTTTTACAAAACAACGACGTAACAGATAGCGCTAGCGCAGCAGATTTGATTTTAACATTAGGGACACCCTTCATCTACAGTCCCCCCGTGACCACTGCTGCAAAGCATCCGAAACATCGAGCCGTATATAAATTATAGTAAAATTAAGTAACACATGTAAATGTTTTCCACAGATAAAATATAAATACAAAATATTGTTTCATTATGCTTTCAGCATCTATTATGTTAATTATTAATCTGTGGTAATTTATTCATTGAGTCTGTATTTTTATCTTGTTATTAATTTGTTACTCGGGTCTTAATAGGCGTGGGTGTAACATTTTGGGGCTTGGAATATTAATAAGATAGACATTTGTCAAGAAATTACTCCAAAAATAAAATTGTTAATATCTGCATATTTCCCTATTTAGCGGAAAATTGAGGAAGATAAAAATTAAAGTAAATTCTTTTGTCAGTTCTTGGTCCGCTTAATAACAACTAGTAAATTTACTTTAAAGTATCTAGGAATGTTAATAGAAAATTCAAATCCCTGTTGTGTCCATTTGATATCCGATTCAGTGGTGTGACCGAATTTACAGACATTTAAAACTTGGGCTTTCAACGCTAAAACCATGTTAGGCAATGCAACCTTCTCGTTTGACGGTAAACAAGTACATATAATAAAAATTAGTGAAAAATGTAGAATCCACTTCTTTTGCTTGTTTTATAATAAATTAAACTTGTCGAAAATACGAGTCGCTGAATTTAAAAGTAAGTGTCAATAAATTTTCTGAGTAATATCTAAAAATAATCGGCCACATTTGTTTTAGTATATAAGTTTATCTCGCGAAGTTACTCGCATAAAAATCAGGTTAATTAAATTTAAAAAAATAAGTGTCAGTCAAATCAGTTAAAATCTGTTTTTGCATGAACTTGATCTGGAAATACTTTGAGTTAATAAAATAAATTTTACCTTGAAAATAATTTTCATGAAGTCGACCTCACAGTTGCCCCACATAAAATAAACCCTGCTACCATTTTAAACTATCTGAAAAGGTAATCAACAAACTCAAAAATACTTACGGTTGACAATTAGTTGAACTCGCTTGTCAGAAAAGTGGGAGAGCGCCTTCTGTGTGACCCTACACACGTACTCATTGGTGTCACGATGCGTCAGATTCTTTATTTCCAACTGGTGATTGTCTGCCTTCACCCTTATGATGTATTTTTTATGATCATCTACAAATTAGATATAAAAAAATGTGATATGATTGTGTATTTTTTTTTTCTTTCCAAACTCTTTAAATGAAACCATACTGGTTTCATTTCACTTATGTGGTGTCATTTCTGTGTCCAATGGAAACTTTTTTCTCCGAAATCAAACATTGAACTTCGCGCTTAATGATATGACAATGGTTTTTAAAATTGAAAAAAAATTCGAGTCAGGCAGGACTTGAACCGACATCGTCAGCGTTCCGTGCTGTTGCTCTACCAATCCAGCTACCGAGGCCGAGTCAATTAATTTTAGATTTATAAATTATATAGTGCCATCATGTACAATAACATGTGAAAAATATTAAAGTTTCTGATGTATACGTTTTTAAACATTGACCTACGGAAGCACTAAAAGATTTATTAAGAAATGTAGTAGACAATTTTTAAAGTGGGCACCGTTTACTTGAGTTTTTAATACTGTAAAACTTAGGTAAAAATACGATATTAAACATTGTAACAATACAATTTTATTCCCGCTTAGTATTGAATGAAAGTAAGCACTTACTAGTAATTGGATCATTTTCAGTATACCACTGGACAACTGGCGCGGGGTGACCTTTCGCGACACAATCGAACTTGACCGATTTTCCTTCTTCGCCCTCGACTGTTTCGTACTTGTTCGAAATTATGGCTTTCACTGAAAGAAAAGTCAAATATAACATCGGAATTCAACCATTATATAGTTGAAAGATTTCACACTAGTCGGGTTGTACATAACTCAAAAAACTAATTTTAAATTACTTATTCAAATTCCGAAAACTTTTTTACAAAGTTAAAAAAAGTAAACAGTTACGAACCCACAGTGTTTCGTCTTGAGCATTTGAGTTACTGTGTTCTAAAGATCATCTTATAAAATATAAATCTTATGATAGTGTTATACATTGCAAGTTTTTCGGGTAATGTTAAAATTCAAATAAACAGATTTTATATACTCGAACTAAAGCAATCAAAACATAGTGAACTATACTTATTATATACTAGCTGACCTGACAAACGTTCTTTTGTATATAATATGTAGGTATATTAGTTTCGATCAACATCGATATATTCTTGCGAATTAATCTTAAAAGATATACTGTTAAAGCATTTAGATTATTTAAAGAAAAATAATACCTTTATACATATTTTTTGGTATCTCGAACGCAACGGAAACATAGATAATTTTCCTAATTTTTTCACATGTCCCTCTGCTTATTCGCTACTATTGGTCACAGCCTGATGTTTTATAGCTAGAGCCTTACTTGATAAATGGTCTATAACCAATACAAAATATTTTTTTTAATTCGAACCAAAAGTTGGAACTTTTCATTTAGATTAGCGCGTTTAAATACGCTCTTCAGCTTTATAATGTGTACTCGCCTAATTGCAATATTTTTTAACATTTACCGTAATGCGTTGAGTCATTGTTTTACTTGAAGTGTAAAGACACTTAATGGTATAATTAAAAACTTACACAGAAACTGCATTTGCTTGTAGACTGTACGAAGAGAGCATTTTAGCAAAGGAAATATGACTTTTATTTACGCAGCGGAAAGTTGAGGAGCAGAAACTTTTAGAATATTAATTAGTTCTTTCGAGAGTAATCTTCAGCAACATTACGTTGTAATTTATTTAGTAACTTTGTTCTAATTTGCTTAGTACAAGAAATAAGACAAAAGCCTAAATAATTTACGAACAAACTTGCTGTAATTAGATGTAAGGAGAAAAGCGTATTATTTTTATAACAAAATCGCTAGTTCAATTACTTTGAAGATGCATTAATATCTCTTATATAAAAAGAACGAAAGAAAGAAGAACGAAAACTCACCGCCATCAGAAATAGGAGATTTAAAATAATGTGTGACATAGACGGGACTCCATCAGACGACCGACCGCGTTACTACACCGTATCTCATTTGGCTGAGCAACGACACTGTACCATATTGGTCGTGGGTTCGAATCCATCTCATGTACTACTTCATTTCACGTCTGTTTTTATTTCTTAAAGCTTTCATGTGCATCTATATTTCAGAATTTAATAAAGGCACTGCAATGAAGGCGACTTAATAATTATATAGTTTTCAATGTTTAAATATTTTACTTACCACCAACAGTAATTTCAATTGTTTCGTTCAATGAACCAGCCTTACAAGTCCAGTTGCCGCTGTCTTCAATCATAGCCTCTTGTATTATCAGGGCGACCAAGCTGCTTACTAGCGAATCATTCTTAGACCTCTCTACGTAGACTCGTGTGTTCTTGGTGGAGCGGCCTTCTACCACGTCGCCGGCTGGCGATACCCAGTCTATTAACTGTAAATTTTTGACGCGAATGTTAGTAGTTTCATCGTTCTAAAGGTATGCATAACAGCGAACAGGTCCAAGTTTATCTGTAATAATAATGTCTGGGAGTTCTCAACGTTTAATATATTAGCAATGTCGAAATTCTTGGTAACGAACATCTACATCGAAGTTCGCATTTTGGCCTGTTGATTTTCAATTGTTTAAAGCCAAAGGTCGATGTGTATCTTAATTAAATGTTATAAGATACTAGCTGACCCGGCAACGTTGTTTTGCCATATAAATAATTTTACAAAAATAGCTATTAAAAAATAAGGGTTGATCGTGTTTATTTTTTTTATTAATCCATAATATCAAGTAATATAACTTAATTTATTGTTAGCATTGTCTGAGATATATTGTCATTTAATTTAGAATAATATTTATGGTTTGGTAAAACGGAGAGAAACTTTTACACCAGTGACATACATTTTCGAGAGCAAAATTCTTAGGTAGGTCAAGATGTTCGCGACAAAGGAGAGCGTTACAGAACTATAATGTTTTTTGTTTAAATAAAACACTTTAACGCGATATATGGTCGTTAAATTTATTTGAAGAATATTTTAACTACGGACCGACGTTTCGGATGGTTTGCAGCAGCCGTGGTCACGGGGAGACTTTTAAAGTGTTTTATTTAAATGTGTACCACTCGCGTAAACTACAGTCCGTATGTTTTTTGTTTATAAAAAATAAGACTGTATGACACCTTGGATTATAACGTTGAACTTGAATTGGAATTGTGAATCGGTAACAATGGCCAAGTGGCTCGAAAAACCCAAGTAGCTATGCAAAATGGCCGGTAATAATGCCTTATTTAATAAATAAATATATATTACAAGTACATACGCAATTAGGAGCTTATTATACTTTCTCTACTTTCAATTGATTAATTTTTACATTAAAGTATTGTTATACAGTTGTATGTTTATATTTATATATTCAAAATCAAGTAATTTAAAGTATGTTTATATCAGGTTAAGTTAAAAGGCCATTCTTATTTAGACTGTTTCCATACTATAGACTTACGTATTAAAGTTTTTCTTTCATTTTTTTCTCCACTATCAAACTTTCACACTGAATTTAAACTTAAAATTAAGTGTATTAAGGACTCTGTCTATTTTCCTCGATTGACTCTCTCAATGATATTTGAGCAAATAATGAAAAACGTACCTCTGGCAGATTTTGTCCCTTGCAATAAATCGCTCGTTTGACACCGGCATTATATACTGAGGACCTGGCCATCACGTGCAGGTATGGTTCTCCATCATTCGGATTAGCTGATAGCACTGGAAGAAAAAATAAGTATTTTAAAAGGAGTTTTTTTAGTCTTTGTACTAAGCTTACTAAATTCGATACGGTGAAAAAAGAACATTTTTTTATTAAAATAGCCAAAAATAAGTTTTGAGTCATACTCATATGTTTTAGTGAAATCCAACTATATATATCTATGTAATATAGTTTGTAGTCTACTATGCATAACTGTAGATTATTTATCCCCTACCTATGCTTCACATTTGAATAAACTTTAACCATTTAAAACACGAAATATATAAGCTAATTTACTTACGTGACTACGTAATTTCCTAACTACGACCAGTCGTGGGGTATCATATATTAGATTTAAAAAAGAGCCTAGATTTCAGTTTGAATACCTAATATTAATATTTGTCTGCGTTAAAAATATTTAGCTATACATTGTTACCATAAGACCAACAAATGCGTCAAAGTGAAAAAAAATGGCCTAAAATTAAGGAAAGGTGTTACATACGTCTTCTTAGTTAAAATGTTTTTTTTTTATTAAACAGCAATGTAGCAGCAGCACAACCAGCTTGTTGATAATTTACTAATGTAAATGCAATGAATATTACTTAGTTTTTACTCGGTTTAAATGTGTCGTACAGCAAGGTAGAAGTGTTTTGTTGGAAATAACTCTTTTACCATGAATTTTCCATTAAATACCTTTTCTAAAATTAAAGCTTGACATACATCGCGTCCTGAAGGTTTACCAAGTCCGACGGGGAATTTAATTTCCTTAGCGCGGTGCACTGTCACGTTGAAATGCAAAACAGATGTTTTTATTTTTTGCGGTTTTATTCAATAGTGACTGTTATGATACGATTACGATTTTTTTTTAATTTGAACTATGTTTACCGTACACTATCGCTACAATTTTAAAAATTTATTCGAGGTCGTTGGTCGTGGAATGGAAAAATTTGAATATGGGACGGATGGTAGAAATAATAAAATTTCGTTCGGGTTACGGACCAACTACAGACTGTAGACCATCCCTGCAATATCTATATCTAATATCTAGCTTTTCTGGCGAAGTCCAAGATCTGTCAGTAAAAAAAAAATTGGAAACACATTGACCCATGACCATTAGCTGTACATTGAAGCTCGTTTGGTAGTATCCGTCAAAGTATAAAAACAAAAGTTTTTATTCAGTTAACTATTTTTTTACATCGATCTAGTTTTGATCTGCAAACCATTTCAAGTGAATAATACCTGTGCCAGGGTCCCCAGCTGTAAATGTAATTAAAGATGTATTTGCAAATGATCAGCGTATGATAAATAATATTACGTTCATGGTGTTGCTCTAGTTACATTCAAAATGTATTTGTATTCATGCTTGCCGGTGTTGCTAGACTTGTGATGTGTAATTCCCGCAGTTAATTTTAATTCACATCACACACTCCCGTAAAATCGGTGATTTTAGTTGTTAATATTTGAATTACACTCACGTAGTCATAATTTTGTTACCGAACTTAAATTATCTCGGGGGAAATGCAAAAATAAAAAGGTGAAATGAAAAAGTTGACAAACTGGCGGTATTCACATATTTTTCCATTTACACTTTTAATCCGGGTGAAGACGAGTTATATTATTTGCACTTAGGTTCCCAAATTGTCGACAAGCTAATTGTGATTATATATTGCTGACTATTTAAAAATTGTTTTAGTGCATTTTCTTTTAAGTTGTGTAGCTAAGAATCAACGTGTCGTGGTTTGTATCCTACCAGCCGACATCCAGGGTCAACATGTTACTAATCTATTTATATTTTTTTCTGAAACATGTTGGCTTCATCTGGAAATCTGAATATTAAATATGTGGTAGGAATATCGAAATTCACGTACACACACACACATACACGCGTATCCACATATAAAAAAGGTAAGAAGTTTAATCGCGTTCTAGAAAATGGTGTAGATATCTGCATTTTAAAATACAATGATTCCAACTTGAATACTTGTTATTTTCTTACTAAAACCGACTTTAAAAACTAATTTAAAGCTTATAGTATATGCATATATGCAAAACTTTGGCAAAATGTTACGGTGAATAGGAATGTATATATGTACTAGCTGATCTGGCAAACGTTGTTTTGCCATATAAATAACTTCATCTATTGAATTGTAGCTTATATGACACGTTTGTCGGTTTATCATAGCAGTGCCATCTATTGATTACTTAATCCATTGTAACTGTCAATTATTTATAGACAAATAATTTGCAATAAAATAAAATGGCGACTATAATAAAGATCTAAACTATCCTATGTCTCAAGTTGGACCAGACTGCTCACGATGTGCCAATTTAATTTAAAATCGGTTCAGTAGTTTAGGAGTCCATAACGGACAAACATCGTGACAGGATATTTATAGATATCCTAACAACAAATACATACAGATGTATGTATTATAACATGTTACAGGAACAGTTATATGCAGGCACCATGACATCGTACTTAATTCCATTAACCCTAGTACTAAAATCAACAGCTTTCAGCCATTATCTTGGTGAAAAAAGAGCAAGAGAAATACGCGTAGAAGGACAAAGCCCCTAATTACAAAGTGCTTTGAGCTCGTGCAAAGTTGTAACATGTGTCGTAAATGTCCCTAGATATCGTCGTTTAACATAAAAATTGGCTTCAAAGGGTCTTCACATTATCTGTGAATTGGTCTACATATCATATATAAGTGTCTTTTAAGTAAGACTACTTTCCTCCACATGGTATTATGTAATTTAAAAATATACTTAGATTTAAATAAAACACTTTAACGGTTTGAAACGCGATATATTAGTTAAACTTATTTGGAAATGATTTTTAACTTCGGCCCGAAGTTTCGGATGCTTTGCAGTAGCCGTGGTCACGGGGAGACAGTTTAATTAATATATCGCGTTTTAAACCGTTAAAGTGTTTTATTTAAATGTGTACTACTCGCGTAAACTATAGACAGTATTTAATATACTTAGATTTAAATATATACATATATATGAGACTAATTTTTGGGGATTTTTTTTTTATCATTATATTGAAGTATGCTCTTGGGCTCTTGGGCATTTTAAATCATACATATTAATTATTATTTCCTGATGACTGACTGACTGACTTACTAACTGATCTGAGTAAAAAATGTCATTTTAAGCTCTTAGTATCTTAATGTTGGGCATGGTTTTCTCTTCTATGGAATGAGAACTAAGAGCTATTACGCTGTTCTAATGCGGGTAGTCTAATATTAACTACCGTCACTATAACTTACTCTAACTATAATTAATTGCGTAAATCAATAATAGATGAATAATAAATGGCAATCAGTACCATTCTCAGCAGTGCTGCTGAATGCTTGTCACATTCAGGAACGCCGGTTGTCACATTGACCCATTGGTAGAAGAAGAGTGAGGTTTATATGATAAATTCTGAGATTGTAAAACTATAACATACATCCTATACAACAATTCCAACGAACTATGGACCTCACTTTTTGTAGTCTTGTGTATAAACCACTGGACCAGCAGGGCAGTTATTTCATTATAATAATTGATATACATTAAATACCCATGTTATAAAATACGCAATAAATTCCACAACTACTTGGAATTCATCAGGTCGAAAATTGATTATAGAAAGAATGTTAAACAGAGCGGTCGGCGCGCTGAAATTTGTTTAAACTTGTTTCAGGAGCGGAGCGAACAAATGACTGTGGTCACCGTGCACGAAATTGAGTAAAACACAGCAAAACCTCTTTATACTTCATGCATGCGCGCTTTTTGTTTATTTTACAGTATTTACAGTATTCACTCGCATGTCGCCTGATAAAGGATGGGTAATTACAGTGTGCGATGCAAATCAATATTGTAAAACAATTATCTGCTTGTATGATAAGCTCTTTTACAATACTGCAACAGATGCGTATTCGTTATAAAAACTATTGAAGTTAAATTCGATTTCCAAATGTTAAATTGAAGCCAAATATTAATAAATTAATTAGATGTTACAGTTTTGACGTGTTCGTTGGCTGGATTCCCATCAGGTCCATTAAAAGGTTGGTAGAGATATCGAAAATTCCGTCCAGATCATTTTATTGAAGTATGCTTCAATAAACCGTTTCACCGCGACCGTCATAGATGGGAAAGCTGCATTTCATTTAAATTCAAAGGATTTACGAATGTCGAAAGCCAAAATAATATCTTGTTTAAATGTTATTTAGCTATGTTTAAACACTAAAGTTCATCGCATACAATAATACTGAATTTAAGTTATTATTATCGAATTATTTTTATCCACATGATACTTTATTAAATAAATACTCCATTGCTATATACCATCTTGACAAGATGCAATGTCGACATATTGTGGCGTTAGTTATTTGGATATCCACAGACTAAACCTAAACCCGATTAAACTTCACAGCTTTTTTTATGGTGGTTCGTGACCCGGATGGAATTTCAATATTCCTACCACCAATCAGACGAATGAACACGTTGCCCCGAAGACAAACCCACGACCCGTTGATATTGGATATTATATTAGAGAGACATTGCTGCCATTAGACCAACAAGCCTATGAACAAAATGTTTTTTACCCGTTAAATTTATTTCTTGGAAGTATCAAAACCCACTCATTTCACATCTCCAAGAACCTCAACCACATACTTTCCGCAACTTCAATCACTTCAAACATTCATATAGGTAGAAATATGAATTTTCCAAGATGATATTCGAATAATATTCCATGCTCTCGAAACGACTCAGTAAGCTTAAAAAATTGATGTCCGTAAAAGGTGAGAGCCTTTGCGGGCTTGAAACAGGCGAAGCCATCTTGATGTTCATTCGCTTCGGAGATGTATTATTTCTTTGACGTTACTATCTTTGTGTTGAAATTTTCTTATATTAAATATATGTTACGGGAAATGTACGAAATCCGACATTGTAAACAATTCCTGGAAAATTTATTAATTAAAACATATTTTGAGATTACCATGTAGTTTTGGCTAAAACTAATGATGAGACACTTTAAGACGGTATGAAACGCGAAATATCGACGACTCGACGTTTCAAATACTTTGCAGCACCATGGTCACAGGGAGACTAAAGAAGGAGGTTATCTCTAATGTCAAAGGAAAATCCTAGTTTTCAAACATTTCCGGTAACATAGGTACATTATGTAGGGCTCATATTCTAAGCTACTTTTGTTAAGTTGATACTTGTTTAGTCTTTGTTTATATTAACGCGCAACGTCTGGTCATGAACACATAATGACGAAACTTTAAAAATATTTTTTCAATTGCGACTGCTACAAATCGATTCATGATTAGTAGCAGTCACTGTATTCCATATATTATACAGTGTAAATATATAATTTGTAGAGATTGTGAGTTTGAGCAAATTTGTGAGAGTGAGCAAATAAAATATTAAAGTATACACAAGTCTGTAAACGATACGTCTTAGCGCTTTACGTCCTACGTCTTAATTCGCCATCTTTGATCTCATTCTACCCGTCCCTTTCACACATATTCTCTCGCTCATTCACACAAATCTATACCAATATATAAAGCTGGAGAGTTTGTTTGTTTGAACGCGCTAATTTCAGGAACCACTGGTTTAAATTGAAAAATCAATTTATTTGTGTTGGTTAGAACATTTATCGATGAAGGCTATAGCCTATAAAACATCGCGCTGTGACTAATAGGAGCGAAGAAACAGCGGGAAATGTGAAAAAACACGGGGAGAATCATTTATGCTTGTGAGTTACAGTTGCGTGAGCTAAGAAAACGGTTCTAGATACCCAAAAAATTTGTATGAAAGAAGGATTCCTCTTTAAATGATCTAAAAAAAAGCCACTACGCTATATGTCTATCTTGTAATACTAACTTACAAAAACGACGGGAGGCGGACGAAGTCGTTGACTTAGCTAGTGTTTTATAATAACAACTAAAACGATAAAGGCTCTAAAATATCGAAAAAGATTATTATTTTGTTATATTGATATTTACTCTATAAACATGGGGAACTTACGAGGACAATACAAAACGTTTGTTTCCTTTCATGACACTATAACTTGTTAGATTGTTGTGTTATATAAATAATCTCAATAAAATATGACAACAATCCGTGCTTTGAACGAGAAAATTGTAACGATTGTAGGAAAACCTTTAATAAAATACCATAAAATTAAATTAATATAGAACGTAATTCCAATAATCTTATGTAAACCAAGTGTAAACTAATTTTATAAAATAATATTTTGTAAAGTAACTATAAATGGTTTAGACATTAAAGAGACATTTTTTTTAAATAACCGTCGTGTTAAGGAACGAGAAAATAATAAGATAACCCTACTATGGTAGGGAGATCATTTTCTTATAATATATAATGATATTCAAGTTAAAACGTCCAAGGGAAAAAATATATTTTTTATGACTAGGGTTAAATAGAAAATATGCTGTCCTGAGCAGTTTTTTTCTGTAGGGCCAGAGACACCCTCCATTTTAAGTCTCCCCGTGACCACGGCTGCTGCAAAGCATTCAAAACGTCGGGCCGTAGTTAAAATAAATTAAATTTTAACTACGGTGTTACAGTATTTTATTTAAATGTGTATTAATAATAAGATAGGCTTTAATCTTTAGCTACAATATTACACAAGATATTAATAATGCCTTTTACGTACAAATAACAGCTCACAATAGCGTATTTATAACCACTGTAATATTGAACTTGCGACACTGCAACTGCCAACTTCGTGTTACACAAAAGCACGGCAAGTGAATGCGATATGAGGTTTCCGTATTTATGCCAGAGTAACTAATACCAGGGAGTGGTTTTAGTGTAACAGACCTTCATACTAATGAGAATCCAACTAATAAATAAAAGAACTATTTACCCTTTTAAAGAGTCTACAAAAACTGCGACACAGTATATATATTAGTTAAACGTTCACAAATTAGTTTTAACTACGGCCCGTCGTTTCGGATGCTTTGCAGCGGCCGTGGTTACGGGGGGCCTCGCCGTAGTTAAAAATAATGTATCAACAATTTTAACTAATATATTTCGCGTTTAAACCGTTAATATGATTTTTTAATACTACTCTAAACTACTCGCGTAAACTACTAACAATTGTTAATTTAGTTTATTGTTATTGTCCATATGGATAACCATTTATAAGTAGGTACAAACATAAAAATCTTATCATTGGAAAATAAACAGAAATTCCAGACATATTTTTGAGTCCCCATAGGGGAAATGAAATTGCACTGATTCCTATATTAAATCTATCTCATGTAACATTTAAAACAAACCTAAATATAGATATTGAATACGTAAAAAAGAAAATAAATTACATAAGTATTGTCTGTACTTTACAAATTTAAATGAAACTGTTTAAAACGCTTGAAATACAGAAGAACTAGAAAGTTTATATTTAAATAAAACACTTTACCGGTTTAAAACGCGATATATTAGTTAAACTTATTTGAAAATTATTTTTAACTTCGGCCCGAGGTTTCGGATGCTTCGCAGCAGCCTTGGTCACGAGACCACAGTCGGGCCGAAGTTAAAAATAATTATCAAATAAGTTTAACTAATATATCGCGTTTTAAACGGTTAAAGTGTTTTATTTAAATGCTACTCGCGTAAACTATAGACAGTATTTAGAAAGTTCATACTTTAAAATCCATCTACCTATCTTGGCAGCCATTTTAAAACCTACACACTGAAGTAAAACAAGACATAAAATAAATATTCCGTTCGTCTGAAGGCACATCCATCATTCGATAACATTATATTTTTGCTGAATACAGATTCAATGATAGATGAACCCCGTTAAACTCGGTTTCTTGTTTATTTTGAATAAGTATTGGGTAAGTGACGTAATTAACGCCGTAAGGTGCGAAGTAATACCTGTCGCGATGATTGATAGCTTGGGGCGGCTTAAGCTTATCATTTGTATATAATGCGATTTAGTGATGTTTGTAATCGATTACTTTTTATCGATTGTTTTCAAGGGAGAAATTTACAGCTGTTAAAATGCATTCGCAACGTCGGCGGTAGTCAAAATATATTCTTAATAAGTTAACTTCACTTCGCGTTTTATACCGTTAAAAGTGTTCTTCTAAAGGAGATAAATAATTATAGTATGTTAATT